ACTGCGTCTAAAAATAGTTACGGGGCTGTCTGATGAATTAAGAACCGCCATTATAGTACGAGGCATTGCCGACCCCCAAGTTAAGGCAGCGGCTACGAATGCAAAACTGCAATCAAAAGATTTGGTCGAGTTTTTGTCTGCTTACGTTAAGCCCAAAATTGATAATATTAAGATTGCTCCCAGTAACAATTCTGTTCGCTCGTCTCAAATAAGGCCTTCTTATCAGCGTAAGCGCGATATACCTAAGTTTGAGGGTACATGTTTTACGTGTGGGAGTAAGGAACATAAGAAGTGGAACTGTCCCAAGAAATCTAAAAATGACTCCTTTATAACCAAGACTCCATCCACTAATACCCCCGCTTCTAGCTCCTTACCGAGTAGGTCTAATTTGCAATGCACGTTCTGTAAGCGGAGCGGGCACGATATAGATACATGTTTTGCAAAGCAGCGCTCAATTCAAAATAAAAATGCGGGTAGCGTAAATTTTTGCTTAGAGGCGAATCCGGACAAAATAACTTAATGCCAGCTGTAATTAAAAGTGTACCGATTGATGTATTAGTGGACAGTGGTTCTAATATTTCTCTTATCTCGGAATCTGTGCTAAAATATTTTAATTTTAATAGAAAGCCATTGTATCGCCTTATGCGTGGAATAGGGAGTCAGGAGGTCGAATCGACCTCCTACGTCACTACAGTAATAGAATTCCCTGAGGTTTCACTGGATGTGGATTTACACGTCGTATCTGCTGATTGTATCAATGCCTCCATATTAATTGGTACTGACGTGCTAAATAGGAAAGGCATAACGTTTATACGCAATAGTGAGGGTCAGCGGCTTACTAGGGTGGATAACTCGCCTACTGTGCATCACGTATTTACTGAAGAGGTTGACAAAATTAAGACACCCCTAGTTGGTGTGGAGAAGTCCCGTTTGCTGTCTATTATAAACAAATTTTCTGATTCTTTTGTCACTGGCACCGCAACCTCCACAGTGAAGACGGGTTGCATGGAAATAAAATTGACCTCTGATGTCCCTGTCAGTTACCGCCCATATAAACTTTCGGCGAATGAGAAAACTCGGGTTCGTGATATTGTTAGCGATTTGATGAGCAAGGGAATAGTTCGCGAATCACAGTCACAGTATGCAAGTCCTATCATTCTTGTCAAAAAGAAAGACGGGAGTGATAGGATGTGCGTAGATTACCGAGCGCTCAACGCTATAACTGTGAAGGAGCGGTTTCCCTTGCCGTTGATTGATGACCATATCGACAAGCTGGGAAGTTTTAAATATTTTAGTAGCCTTGACATGGCTACTGGTTTTCACCAGCTACCCCTTAAAGATGATGACTCTATCGCCAAAACAGCCTTCGTAACGCCCGAGGGGCACTACGAATATTTAAAAATGCCCTACGGTTTGGCCAACGCTCCTATCGTCTATCAAAGGGTGATCACAAAGACGTTGAAACCGTTCATAGATAGTGGTAGGGTGCTCACTTATATCGACGATGTCCTGATCCTGTCCAATACTGTCCAGGAGGGTATGGATACGCTGCAAGAAGTCCTTAAAGTCTTAACTGATTCTGGCTTCTCCATCAATTTAAAGAAATGCACGTTTCTCGCCACGGAGGTGGAGTACCTGGGCAGACTAATTGGACAGGGTCAGGTACGGCCGAGTCCCGGTAAGGTAGAGGCACTAGTCAAATCCCCAAAACCCACAAGCGTTAAGGATGTCAGGCAGTTTTTGGGACTCGCGGGCTACTTTCGTAGGTATATCGCGGGCTATGCATCTAAGACTGCTTGTATTTCCAAGCTGCTAAAGAAGGGTGCGCCTTTTGTATGGGGTAGTGAACAAGACGCCTCCCGGGATTACATCATTTCATGTCTGACAAACGAACCGGTCTTAGCAATCTTCGACCCCAAGTTGCCAACTGAGCTTCACACCGATGCCAGTGCCATTGGGTTCGGTGCGATCCTCCTTCAGGAGCATGAGGGGAAGCGGAAACGGGTTGTCGGTTATTATAGTAGAACCACACAGGGCGCTGAACCTCGGTACCATAGTTATGAATTGGAGACCCTTGCAATTGTTCGCGCACTGCAGCATTTCCGTCATTATTTAATCGGCATCGATTTTAAAATAGTGACGGACTGCAATTCATTAAAATTAACAGAACGCAAAAAAGACCTATTGCCGAGGGTGGCGCGCTGGTGGGTCTACATGCAAGATTTTAATTTTAAATTAGAGTACAGGAAGGGCTGTCTTATGCAGCATGCTGATTTTCTGAGCCGACAGCCGATAGCCGTTTCTCATATTCGCAACCCCAATAATTGGGCGAAGACTGCTCAGACCGCGGATACAGAAACACAAGATCTGATTGCTAAATTAAGGGATGGTCAGTTAGATGGGACGCGATACATAATTAAAAATGAGATTTTGTTCTATAAATATATTGCGACTGGTGAGGAACCGCGATTGTTGTGTTTCATACCTAAGGGTCATAGGCTTAGTCTACTAAGAGTATTTCACGACGATCATGACCACATAGGAATTGATAAAACCACGGATTTGATATTACGCCATTTCTGGTTTCCCGGACTGAGACACTTCATAAGGAAGTACATTTTACACTGCCTAGTTTGCTTAGCGCATAAGAAGGTACCTAGGGCACCATCTCAACCTATCGAGTCGTGGACGAAACCTGATGTTCCGTTCGATGTAGTGCATACGGATGTTCTAGGACCCCTTCCAGATTCTAACGGGTTCAAATATATTTTAATTGTTGTGGACGCGTTTTCAAAGTACTGTCTCCTTTACTCTCTATATCGGCAAGACGCTGAGGAATTGAAACGTGTTTTCTCTAACGTTGTCTCGTTATTTGGAACTCCTCACACTATAGTTTGTGACCGGGGTAGAATGTTCGAAAGTACAGCTTTCCAAAACTGGGCGCGTGATTTAGGTTCCTCGGTGCATTTTATTACACCCGAAATGCATCGTGAGAATGGGCAGGTAGAAAGATACTGTCGCACGGTACTTAATATGCTGCGTGTTGAAGTGAGGGCCAAGGGTTCCCAGTGGGCGGATGTTTTATGGAAAGTTCAATTGACATTGAATATTACAAAACACGCAACTACGCAAACATCTGCGTTGCAACTTTTGGTGGGTATTGAGGCCGCTACGCCTGTTATCAGGTCGTTGATAAGAGACGTGGCATTACAAAACTCTAATCCTAACCGTGACGCCCTTTTAAGCCTGCGAAGGCAGAGAGCTTCTGAATTGTTGACAGCCAATCAGCAGCGCCAGAATGCTTATGTGAACGAGCGTCGAAGGCAGCCACACCAGTATGCTGTCGGCGACTTTGCTTTCGTGAGCAAGACATCGCAAAGTGCTGGGAAGCTGGACTCCGGCATGCGCGGCCCCTACCGGGTTGTGCGGGCTCTGCCGCATCACCGATACGAGCTGGAGTTGCTGGCGGGAGCTTATGGCAAGAAGACCCAGGCAGCCGCCGAGCACATGGTCCGATGGCGAGGCGAGTGGACTCCCGAAACATGCGTAGCCTTTTTCGAAGGTGGTGAGTCCAGGCAGACGCTATGGCTACTTTGGGCCTACGCGTAGGTATACGTTCTTGACACGCAAACATTGCCTCTGTCAGGTTCTGGCTTTGTCCAGGCAGACACAAACCACGCAAAACGTGCTTTTGTGTATGGGTAGCATGCAAATACGGCCTCTGCTATGTTGGGTGGGTTATATTTTTTTCTTGACTCTTTTGGCTTTGTCCAGGCAGACACAAACCACGCAAAACGTGCTTTTGTGTATGGGTAGCAAGCAAATATGGCCTCTGCAATATTGGGTGGGAATTTTACGTTTTGACATGCAAATATAGCCTCTGTCAAAAGTGTTCTACTATTTTGTGAATAATGGAATCCGGAACCATTATTCATAAAACTTATTTTGTTTAATTTTATTTTAGTGACCAAGTACATTACTTATAACTTTTTACATTAAGATTAAAATTTATAAGATAAAGTTCAAAGTTTCCAGTTAAAGTTAAAATTTTAAGATTATTCATTTATCATTACATCTGTTTCCTCGGGTGTGATCACTTGAGTGCACGCTTGTGATTGTACCAGGGAGGCAGTTTCAATTATTTTTTATTTGCAACATAAAAATCTATTTCAAAGTAATAGATCGAACAAGTGAGCTAAGGCCTGATGTATGTTTCAGAGGCAAATGAAACCGACCAGGTGTCTGACCAGGACGGTGAAGACCTACAATCGGGAGACCAGCCCTCAATAAGCCAGAGCTGCGCAGAGCAGCTTCCAGCTGTCCAAGGCGATGCAGACCAGCCTTCGACGAGCCGGGGCTGCGTACAGCAGCTTCATGAAGACCAAGATGGTGAAGATGAGGCTTCAGAGAGCCAGGGCTGTGAGGAGCAGGAGGAGCAGCTTCTGGAGGACCGTGGCTCTGCAGGACCAGCGGTCGAGGACGCCGCATCATCAGGAGAGGCCGTCTTAGAAATTACAGCCGCCACGTCACTGTGACAACTGATCACGTGATCTGTCATCGGGTTGGCGGGAAACTGCTATAAGAGAGGGGCTGTTTGCGCGGGATGTCACTTTTGCTCGAGCTCTCGGAGGCGACGGACGTTCTTGGGATTGATACTTAGGGCTATCTATAATTTCAATTATTTAATTTGTAATTAATTAAAATCATATAGTTTGTGCCATTGCCGTGTTCTTTTTTAAAAAAACCAACTTCACCTCTGGTTTATTAGAGTATATTATTTAAGTGCTTACATAGAGGTAAACACTAAATCTATTCAGAATATATAAAGTGTACATCTTTTACGATTAAATATAATAATTATAACCTCAAAATCGAATACATTCTGTAGTAGTCCACGGTTCCTCAACTTGTCCGTATCTCAACAAATGCTTAATTAGAGTTTATGAATGATTCCGAACACAACTAGCATTTTCTCATTGCTGGGCGTTCTAGGGCATTCAATGTATGGGGAACGAGCAATGTCTTTTCGAATGCATATACTTTACAGATATTTTATATCCCGGATAAATGTGCGGTTCCTGTGGTATTCTCAAAAAAGGATACATAACGCGTATGAAGTTGCAATTTTAATAAATTTGAATTAGGGTCACCATTGCAATCGTGACCTGGTTAAGACGAAAATACCCCCTCTCAGCTAAGCAACAGCGCAGTATTACGGGTAGATATATTATCCTGAATATATTGTGGCTCGGGCCGAGGAAGCCTTGCCTTTGCCGAAAACTCGATCGATGACCCAAATGTGACGGGTCACAATTTTTAGATGCCTCTCTTCCACTCGGCTAAGACGGCATAAAATCAAATACATATTTTCACATCTAACTACTTAAAGTAAGAAGCACATAACATATTTTTACTAAAACTTTTAAGACATTTAAGTTATATTACTTAGTTAGATTGGTTATTTGAAGGTTCCGTACCTCAAAGAAATAAAACGGAACCCTTATAGGATAACTTTGTTGTCCGTCTGTCCGTCAAGACCCTTTATCTTGGGGAGGCGAAGAGGTATCGAGTTAAAATTTAAACCATATACTCAGGTATACAGTCCCTTGAAGCTGTGAATAATTCAAACTTCTAAGTTAACGTAAAAAAGAGATACAGCCGATGCTGATGTTGCGTACCTACAAATTTGTACAGAACCCTCCGTGGGCGAGTCTGACTCATACTTTCCGGTATTTAAATATCCTTTACTTAAATCTAAAGTACCTATGTTTTCAATCTTTATATGAATATCAAAATAATTTGAGAACACCTGTATCAGTTTTTTTCAGTTTTCGTGAAGTTGCACATAAAAATAAAGAAAACTTAACGTAAAACTCTACTTGATTAGTTATTTGAGTGGTTTTGCATTCGGGAATTAGGGTTGTTTTTTTATCAAAGTTAAAGTCTCTCTAATACGCTCGTTTAAAATAAAATTAACAATATTTGGAGTCGGTAGCCATGCCAACGAAAATAGATCTAAGATGTCGTTCACTAATTGCGTTGGTTGGCAAATATTATTAGTTTACTTTATATAGATTTAATTAACAAAAAGTACCATCTGTGGTCTTTATCATCAGTTCAACTTCAGCTGTTGGTAGTATCAGAGAGTAACTAGACGAGTTTCTATAAAATTATCTTAATTACAGATGTGCTTAATATTTTTCAAGAGTTTCCTCTATTTCTCCAGGATCCTATCATCAGACCTTGAACTGACGACATCGGGACAACTACAATCGGGAAAACGACCGGGAAGAATTAAGATAGACTGAATTTTTTTCTCGAGGAATTGTAACAACAACAAAAACGAGTGTGCTTATTACCACACGACTAAAGTGAAACTTCTTTAGCTCCATCTGTATGTATATGTTTATATATATGTGTGTGTGTGAACAATATATAAATGTATGTTTATATACATATTTCATTTTCTAGCTATAAGAGGCAGAGAGAAAGAATCTTCCTCGCCCGAATACACTTTTCGTAACGTGTAACGCATTCAGCAGCTTACCCCTCAAGTCAAGCGTGCGTAAAGAAGTTTCCTTCAAAAATTATAACAATTCAAAACTCAATTGCAATCAACTTAAAAATGTTTTATTGCAAGAGGAGCAGCTGTATTTGCCGCCACATTACTATTGTTATACAGAATTATTCCGTTGTAATTAAAAGCGAAACAAGTGTCAATAACTCTTCTCCCAGAGTTCTGTAACCCTGTAGAAAGGCGCCGGCGACATCTGATCCAGGCACGAAGGTTCCCGAGGACGTTACGTGATTTCAATACTAAAAATGCAAATGTCTTTCTGCAATCAATATTTGCTCACTTTCACCTCAGAAGGCTTGCAGAAAAATAAATAGTATTTCATTACATAAAGAAATACTATCCTATCCCTTCTAGCAGAGCATCAAAGGTGGTAGCATGAGACCAGAAGAGTCTCTAAGCTACCTTAGGAAGCGCGCCGACAATAGTTGCATAAATACATATACTATAAAAGCTAAATTCATAAAATACATTACATGATTTAATTTGGATTAATAAACATTTGCCATATAAACACATGCCGCACATTAGTTATATATTAATATAAAAATTGCTACTTCACACCATTTTTTTTCTGTTTTTTTTTCATAATTGACACTTTCCACAAAAGTATGTTAGTAATGATTTGTTAGACATTTTAAACCATTTCGGATCCATTTGCCATCATTAATCATCATCATCAACATCCTATCTTAGTCCATTGCTGGACATAGGCCTCTCCAAATGCACGCGATCGATCTTGGGCTACTCGCATCCAGCTTCTGCCAGCCACCTTGCGCAAATCGTCACTCCATCGCGCCTGAGGACGTCCTACACTATTGCGTTTGCCTAGACGCGGTCTCCACTCCAGAGCTCGTCTACCTCAACGGTTATCGGCTAATCCGGTGGGCTATGACGATAACTCTGGTTCTCTGTCGTATTACCTCATTTCTGATGCGATCCATTTGCCATAGCTCCACTGATTCACCCACACGAAAACTGGAAAGGAATCAAAAATTCAGGAACCTATTGTACAAGTTTAGGTATTTGTACTCATGTTTGTGTACCTACTTAATAAAATAATGGAGATGTAATTCATTAGTAGTCATAATTATAGTGATTGTTAATTTGTTGGTAATAGGCTAGTTGACCCTTTTTGGAAAAAGGTTTTAAATGGTCAATAAATGTTCTATTAGACCGAAAAAAAATGTATTGTATTTTTTTTAAACCTAGAAAGCTACAAATCTTTAATTTTAAAATAGACTTTTCATGGACATACAAAAACGCTGCCGGCCATTTTAGTCTATAGATTATCTATGCTATGACGTGAACTGTGGTAAACAAAAACTCGTAAACACGTAGAAAATTTCTTAAAACTGAGTTTATAATAAAAAAAAAACATGATTTCTAATAAATACCACGAAAAATAAAGTAATTATCATTACTGTATTGTACGAGAATATAAAAACACATCCTTGAAGACTCCAGGAAAGTTGTGGATTAAAGTGCCGAAAGAAATTAACCTACGCAACTTTATTACACTTATTCATATGTTGTATCAGTTTTATGTTTATTACTACTTTATGACATTTAGTTGTTTACCACAAGAGACGTCAAAATCATGGCGGATGTGGCGAACAGCGTTTTTAGTGTTTAAAAAATATAGACTAAAAAATATATTTTAAAATTAAATTTCTACAGCAATCTTCTGCTTCTGCAGCTTATGAAGTGAAATCGATATATTTAGGTTCTTTAGACCAAATACTTTAAGAAATAAACATTTATTTAATACAATTCGACATGAGTAAACTAGCCTATTGTTGATGAGATAAGTTATTAAATTAATACTGTGTATCGAAATTGGCCTAAAAACTAGCAGCAATATATCAACTTTAATGGTATTTAATATAGGTATAGCACACATATCAGTCAATTATATTGTTTTAAATGGTAATGTAAGTTATATCTTTTATAGAAGGTTTAATAGAAAAATAAGCACTTTCAAATATTTCATTTAAGACTGCGCAGTTTTATTCAGGCTGAACGTATCAGGGTAGATAGGGGTAATGCTAATCTGATGCTCACAGTAATACGTTTTAAATAAATGTACAAAAAACAGTCATTTTTTGATATTATAGAATGTTTTGAAGAGAAATTTGAAAGAGGAGAAGAATGTAGTGTAATGAAGAAAATGAAACACAACGCAATAATAAATGAAAATAATAGCCTGGCACTTGGTTATTCTGTATATTATATTTGCTATTTGTATATTTTCCTGTCCCTTTTTTTAACTGTCCGAAAACCCAGTGTTATATAATCCAGGCTATGTACACGCCCAAAGATAATTGAAACAATTCAATATTCTTTTTTCATCAATATTATAAGCTTATCAATGTCCCCCTACTGAGTCATAGGTTTTCCCTTTTTTACCCGACTGCGCAATGCAAGAGCGCGAAGCGCGACGCGCAGACAGGGTATAGTGTTTAACAGTCTATATAATGTATGTTTGTTCCTTTGTGGCACACTAGAGACCAAACGTCTGGACCGATTTTGATGATTCATACATCAATCGATTCGTCTCAATCATGGGAATGCAACTAAAGATGTGATATTAATCAAAATTCAATATGGGGAAAATTAGGCGCCATATTGTGACGAAGTAAAAAAAATAAGTTGACAAAATATGTCGAGTAGGGTATCATTGTCTAGATAATCGAAAACCATATTTAGGTTCTTTACACCATTTTTCATTTTATATGATTGTTTAGGATCTGTAACGCTTTAAAGTTGTATATTAACCACTTGCGCTTTTAATTTCAATCATACGTTTGTATGGATCTTTGTTACTCTTTTACCTAAAAAATACTGAATGGATTTTATTGAAACTTAACAGTAATATAGCTCATATATGATAATAACATATATATATAATACTTTATGTAGTTATTGAGTGAATTGGCCAAAATATAACAATAAGTGTCACATAAGACGGAAAAAATCTCCCATCTGCGAGCCATTTTGGCCTGCACTGCAAAAACAATAAAAGTTACATGAATGTAATGTAATATGAAAATGTATCTCTTAAGTAGTTTCACAAAAAAGCCCGTGACACCATAGTTCTATTTTTAATGTGTAAGCCATTACCGATAAAATAGTGAATCAAAACTAAAATATTATTTGATATCTATTTCCAAAATGCACATTTTGTATTAACAAATTATTTTAAATACTTTAATCGCTTTTGATATTTAACGACGATAAACTTTGCCTTTTACACTCTGTCATTTCGACAAATATTTAAAAAGTTACAACGATGACAAAGTGATAGCGCGGTGTACTATATAGGAGTAGACTGCGGGAACACAAAGAGAAGAAATTTCATTTAGGTGTTTATAAACGTAGATAAAACCTAGGCGAAAAAGAAAAAATGTGCTAGTCGCAGTACCTGATCCTATACAAAGTACTTACAATAAAACTGTGATGCAGTTCCTTCCTATTAAATGATGAAAAATAAATTATCATAATATGTATTTATGATTATTGAATTTTAATGAAAAAATCAGAATTATACTGTTTTTTTTAAACGATATTACTTAATGTTACAAGTAAAGGGTTAATTAATATAATGACAAATACCCATTTTTCGCTAGTAGGTA